TTATATTTGTCAAACTACATGTTTAAAACAATACCAAATATCTGAAAGAAATACACCAAACCAGAAAAGTCACCTGTCTCATGGAACAACCCAGTTATTCTTACGGCTACTGCTGGAAACTGTTTAACATCTGCTAAAGGTCAGTTCAAGTCATGTTTGCCCCAATATAAAGAACGGGAAACATTATCACACGTGACATTTCCATTCCTGTGACACACAGTCCTAATGATTAAACATGATAGTGACAGGCCATTTCGCTCTTACAGAATTACATGAAACTTCTACCACGCTTCCAAAAGTGGTATTAGACAATTAAGAGAGCCACGGAGAATTTTCTTTGACATTAAAGACAGAGCGTGAGAGAACAAAGGAATACATCCCACTGCTCTTAAGAGAAAAGCTGTACTCAGCAGTAGGAAATGAGATTGAGGGGAGCTTCAAGCGTCTAAGGGAACATGTCAAAAGCTCAAATGAGGTTTTAATGCATGCTCTGAGAAATCTGAAAGCCTGGCCATCTTCTCCATTTCCCTCGTCCATATGATAGAACAGATGGAGGAGAGATTTTAGCTCGCTCACTCTCTTTATCCTTCTCTCTCCTCCTTCACCAAGTTCCATCACTTCTTATACAGACACACACACACACACACACACATACTCACACAGACAATACTCCATATCTCTCTCGCTCGCACACACGCACGCACATAAATGCTAATGCATTCATATTCTCCAGAACGCGTAACAACGGACAGCAGAGAGTCCAGAAGGGGTGAAAGACAGGTGACCGGCGCTGTATTTATCTGTACGTGCGTCTGTTGAATTCAGAAGTGGACGTCAAAAGGAACTCTACACCGATAACACACTCAATGAATCTGTTCAGTGTGGCAGACGATTCCAGCCTCTCCAAATGTAATCATGCATGTTTATTCAGGAACTCTATATCTAAAATTGCTAGGTATTAAAAAATGTAAATGTCTTCGACATTACTTGGAAAAATCTACCAAGTGTAAGATCTTTCATGAATAGTCAGAAGCTTTATTAATACTACGCAAGAAATGTCATGTTTGTGATTCATCAGACTGCCATAAACTCTGCAAGGCAGGCGTGCAATTGCGCACACAGAGGGACGTGGTGTATCTGTGCGTGGACATGATTACACACACTCTCACAAACAAGTCAACAGAAATTGCAAAAACTGCTGCAAACCATGAAATTAACTGCATTTTGAGTGTGAAGTGGGTTAAAAATAAACATAAGCGGGGTTCTGGGTCCACTCGTGAAAATTAGTGCATTTTTTAGTGCCTTTATTCATTCTACACGTCTTCCCTTGCAATAGTTCACACAAATATGAAAATTCTGTCATCATTTACTCACCCTCATGTCATGTATGACTCTCTTCTGTGGAACATAAAAGATGATATTTCAAAAACCGTTAGGGTCCAAAACAACATTAACACCAACACAGTTTCACAGAAGAAAGTTTGGAATGACATGAGGGTTAGTAGGGTTAACTCTCCCTTTAATATGACTAAAATTGCAAAAGCATTAAACACAAAAGATGAAACACCAAAGTTGAACATTTTCAAGCAATTCTTCTACTCGAAGTCAATTCAATCTTCACCCAGTCTGGGAGTAATTAATCTTTCCCCTTCAAAAGCAGGCTTCAATATACTCTTTTTCTGAGTTCAGAATGACTCTTTCTCTCATGAAGTCAGATCATCGGCACAGGCACATGTCAATAGTCAGTCAATAAAGCTCTCTCTTCATATACAGCCCAAAAATGTCACTTTAGGACGACAAATATAAACACATTGGAACACTAAAGATGAAGAACACAACAGAGGACAACAGCGGCTTTCCATTTACATTTATGCATTTGACATTTTTGTCCAAAATGACACTGCAAATCACACATATACGTGTCCTCAATGGAATTTGATCAAAGACGCAGCAAAAAGCACCTCTTTTGATTTTGAGCTAACTGTCAGTTTGACTTGCGTTTTCTGCTTGTATGCTATAGTTTGCGTTATAAAAGAAAAGCTTTGGCATCTGCCTCAAAAAAAAAAAGTTAATGATCAATATTATGCGAGCAACTGATGCCATCTGCTATATTATCAGACAAGCCTTTGCTCGTACATGGAAGTCCTGAGTTGGTTCCTTTAAACTGAATTATTCAGAATTTATGCAAAAATTTGTTCTAATGTTGTTACCAGATCAGCCACAGAGGATAAAACCAGTATTTTTTTTCCTCTTCTAAATCTTTAAATAAACCCTGACAGGTGCATGCTGTCATATGTCAGCCTTCATTCCCAAACTAACAAGTAATAATCGGTAAGGACACCAACATTTGCTCCCAGGTAATTGAGCTTTACTAAGTTAACGTTAATTCATTTTCTTATTGATTCAGGTCAAAGCAGAGTTCATAATGCACAGTGAGTATGCTGTAGAACAGTCCTGTGCAGTTAACACTAATGCTATTAGATGTAATCCTTTTCAAAAGAAGTTTTTTTGCTAGAAAATGCTTTAAGTGTTTGCCTTGACTATGATCTGCAATCTCTGCAGTTTTTAATCATGATATCATGTGATTTCTTTAAAAGAAAAATAACAAAAAATGCTGTACAATGACATTATTCATTCCGGCCTACTTAAAAAGATAGTTCATTTAACTTAAAAGGATAGTTCACCCAAAAATGAAAATTCTGTCATTGATTACTCAGCCTCATGTCGCTCCAAACCCGTAAGATCTTCGTTCATCTTCGGAACACAAATTAAGATATTTTTTAACAAATCCGAGAGCTTTCTGTCCCTTCATAGACAGCAATGCAACTGACACGTTCAAAACCCAGAAAGGTAGTAAGGACATCATTAAAATAGTCCATGTGACACCAGTGGTTCAACCGTAATTTTATAAAACTACGAGAATACTTTTTGTGTGCAAAGAAAACAAAAATATGGACTTTATTCAACAATTTCTTCTCTTCCAGTCAGTCTCTACTACCATTCATCACATGGACTATTTTAATGTCCTTACTACCATTCTGGGCATTAAATGTGGTAGTTACGTTGCTCTCAATGCCGGCTCAGAAAGCTCTCGGATTTCATCAAAAATATCTTAATTTGTGTTCTGAAGATGAACAAATGTCTTACGGGTTTGGAACGACATGAGCCAGAATTTTCATTTTTGGGTGAAATATCCCTTTAAGAAAAATATCCAAAATATCATGACTGAAAATCACATTTTCTTTGAGAAATTCTGTAAAGTTTGTCTTAGTTATCAACAGTAAGCAAGAGGGGAGGAGCTTATCAAATGATCACCTGGCTTGGGTTGCTGTGCAGCTTCAGATTTACCCATAATTTTTGTAACCTGGTTCCAAAAATCTCTGCCAAAGAAAAAGCACCACTCTTTCTCATATCTCCAGCAGATAAAATATTAAAATCACAAATGAGAGTTTCAAACCTCCACAAATGCCAGTGCAGGCAGTCCATATGCTCGCTTAGACTGGCATACAGAGATGAGAGTCAGCCAGATGAACAACATATGAAAAAAAAACTCCTGTAATAATGAACAGATATCAGTGTCAAGACCCATCTGGATATCATTTGAAAAACACTAAGAGGTTACAGCACAAGTAGTTTTTATTGTGGAAACTGGTTATCAATAAAAGTAATGGATTGCTACAGAGATATTCAGGAGCTTTGTTACTCTTTTAAAGCAGACGTTACTGTGTTTCTATAACGGCTTGTGTGCTGCAGCAAAACAAACCTTTTTTTTTTTTGGTCTTGGCATATGTTTATGCAGTGAAATGGATGAATGGAAAAGTTTGATTATGGTTGTTATCAATCCAATGGCACAGCAGCGACGCCTGCTGTCTAATTCAGTGTACTGCATCCTCAGGTACGGCAATAGACCTCAAATTAGTCTCTCTAAAGTCTCTCTCTTTTTTCTAAATTATTTCATCCTTGCTGGCTGCCAATCGAAAAAACATCATGATGATAAGTACACAATTTTAACTAAAACATACTGTTGACACATATATGATTAGAAAAAAACAACAATGCAAGACATTAACAATAAACTATGTTTTTGAAGAAGAAAACGCTAGAAAAATATGACTGTTTCAAACAATCCAGTCAATAATACGATCCAGTCAACCTGTGCGAGATGAAGTTGAACAGTGAATCAAAACTGGTAAACTGGAGCACTCTACAAGTTAACTAACTCACTCAAACTCATCCCGTATGAGATTAATCAGATATATACACAACATACTATAAATACAATATTACAGTAAAGGCAAAAGTAATATTGTTTTGTTGATATTCTTATTACTAAGTTACATGCTAGTCAAAATGTGTGGGTCACACTGTGAATACGCTCCTTCATTAAAACACCACAATGTTTTAACAAATTTGAACAATGTTGTAACATTAAAACACCACAATGAATAAAAAGAAACGTGTACTTATTATTATAATGTTATTTCAGGAGATCAGTTGTACACTAGTGCTGTATCCATTATTTTAATTACAAATTTAAATGATGTTAATAATTATTTAATTTAATAATTATTCAAATAGCTTTCGATAATATTAATAATTATATTATTATTGTTATCATTTAATTATTATTATTAAATAATCATATTAATTTATAATTACTGAAAATATTTCGTTTAATTTTGCACTACCTACTAAAATGATGTTTTCGGCAACAAAAATTAGATATTGTTTCAGGACTGTAAATCAAGTAAATTGACTAAAATAATGAATATGATGACAAAATATTGACTACATTTTAAGAATGTAGTCAGTGAGATTCTATGGTAATATCAAGTTATTCAGATGAAGTAAATTAACTCAGAACATTCGTTTCAAACTCAATGTTTGAGCAGTAGTTTATCCATACATTCTTTCCTAACCATAAACTTTTGTAAATCAGCATTTGCATACGGTTTGGAAAAAGGCCAATGCTGCCATCTGTCAGATGTTTTCACTTGTACCTGTCGAGCGAGGTTCACGGAGTCAGCAGTGAGTCTGTCTCTGAGGTGTGGGTCCAGCTGTGTGGCCGGTGCGATCTCCACCACCTTCTGGTGTCTCCTCTGGATAGAGCAGTCCCTCTCGTACAAGTGAATGACATTGCCGTATTTATCGCCTACACACAATGGACCGATCAACTCATTGAGCATTACACAGAAGTCTTAAACCCATCTGGCACTGTAAACAAACCCATCTGCTAGTATTTCTCCAAAATATAATAACAAACAATCATATAACTGATCAATAAACACTATGCAAATTAGCAGGCAACAGAGAACTGCACCATTCTGTTCACTGTTGAGAACAGTGCGCTCTATGCAAATATCCAAATATGTTTTAAAGGGGTCATATGATGCAATTTCAATTTTTCCTTTCTCTTTGGAGTGTTACAAGCTCTTGGTGCATAAAGAAGATCTGTAAAGTTGCAAAGACTAAAGTCTCAAATCCAAAGAGATATTCTTTATAAAAGTTAAGAGTTAACCATGCCTACCTAAAACGGCTCGTTCTAACACGCCCCCACATACCTACGTCACGATCTGGGAAGATTTGCATAACGCCTCCCAAATGTTCACGCAAAGAAAGAAGGCGTAACTTTTATTCTCACTGTAGTATTGTTGACGCTGCAGCCATGTCCTGAAGACGCTGTAATAATGTTCTTTTTAGCAGCATCATATGACCCCTTTAATTAACTCCCAAACAACGCATTTATTTCTGGCAAAAATCTAATTTGTTTTGGGGGTTTTGAGCGCTTGTTCTGTCACAATGTCAGGAAACAGATTTGAAGTGGAAATCTTTACTTACTCATCCTTATGTCTTTCCAAACCTGAGTGACTTTCATTTCATGGGACACAAAAGGAGAAATTTAAAAGAGTCCTTGTTGCTCTTTTACAAGCAATTACAATAAATGAGGACTGAAACTCCAAAGGCATCATAAAAATGGTGTATATATATATATGACTTGTGTTCTATATGAGAAAAGTATCAATTTATACACAATTATGTGATACATGAGCGACAAAGTGGTTCATAAACAAATCATTTAAGATGAATCTTTTCAACAAATATCTAAATGAATTATTCATAGTTTGGACTGATCAGGTAAACCTACTAGCGTTGTTTACATGCAAATTAATAATCCATTTGTAATCAGGTTGATAGCTCAATCAGCCTGAGAATCCTTCATGTAAACACCATTTAATTTGACTGAGCTCAATCTGTAAGAAAATTTGAGTAGTGTAGATCTTTAATAAAGTGTTTGATGGGAAGATTTTAGCCATGTTAACCCAAAATTCAGCCAAAAATGAAAATTCTGTCATTAATTACTCACCCTCTATTTTAACGATGTCCTATACCTTTCTGGGCTTTGAACGTTTCAGTTGCGTTGCTGTCTATGCAGGGTCAGAAAGCTCTTGGATTTCATCAAAAATATCTTAATTTGTGTTGTTTTATGGGTTTGGAACGACATGAGGGTGAGTAATGACAGAATTTTCATTTTTGGGTGAACTACCCCTTTAACGCTTCATTCAAAATACCTTTCGCACACCTTTTTTTTTTATTTTTTTATACGCCTTATGAACATTCATGTTATCTTTCAAACTGAAAGAACAGACTTAAGGCCCGTTCACACCAAGCACGATAACTATAAAGATATTAACGATAAAGATATAGTTCTAAAAATCATTCTCAATATTAACACTACAACAGTCCACACTACAACTATAACGATAAAGGCACAGAGAAACGATATCTTTGGAATCATTTTCAGAAAAATTTTTTCTGGCTGATGAACGATAAAAACATTGACAGCCAATCAGAATCCATCCTGCTATAAGGAGCTCGAGAATTTAAAGCGGCAGACGCACGTGTCACGAGCTTGAGAATTTAAAGCAGCAGATGCATGTGCGCTTAGAATAAACAGACAATATCGTCCGCTGGTGTGGACACTAATATCGTTATCTTTATAGTTATTGTTCTTGGTGTGAACAGGGCTTAAATGTCTGTTACATATTTGCTTAAAAAGGCTTTTCTGACTATGAACATGGCAACTTGGCATTGCGAATGCCCAAAAAGTCTGATTGGATTCATTCAGATTAATGAAAAAAAGTGCAATGATGACAATGATCCCATCAGTGTTTAACATCCCACTAAAGCGGAAGATTATAAGTGAATAATGACTTAAATTTCAATCTGTCCTCACACAAAGCTACTACACAGCTTCAAATGTCATGTAGGCCACTTTTATGGTGCTTTTATGTCCTTTTGACAATTAAACTCTTCAGACCAAAGAGCAACGGTTTTCCTTTTGTGTGACAGGTTTGGAATGTAATAAAGGTGAGTAAATGAGGACAATGTTAATTTCTGGTTAATCGTTTTGTTTATTATTAGGATACTTAATCTGCAGTTTTTGACCAAAGACTGACCAAACAAAAACCAATAGCGAACAAACTCACTTACCCAAGATCTGCACCTCGATGTGTCTGGGTTTCTCAATGAACTTTTCCACAAACAGAGCTCCATTGCCAAAGGCTGCCAGGGCCTCAGAGTACGCACGCTGATAGTTCTCCTCTAGTTCCTGATCACAAATAAAGCCACAGGGTCACCCAGTGCAAATACCCAGCACACCAATTCATACAGCACAAGTAACTCAAGAGCCAACAAACCTAAAGTGCACACAAGGGCCTCACTTTTGCGTTCATTTAAAAGCCCTCCAGTGTCAAAGCTCACAACTGGCTCTCAGAAGTAATGGCCCAAAGATTAAAAGTGTTCTACTCCCTTACAAATAATTTTACCCTCGGACACATTACCTCATACTCCCTGACCACTCGCATTCCACGGCCTCCGCCTCCATACGCAGCCTTGAAGATAATCGGGAAACCGTAGCTGTTGGAGAACTCTTGAGCTTCCTGCAAAGACGAGATGGGAGCATCTGTTCCAGGTACCACCGGCACACCTGCAGGATGACCAGATAGATCTGCCTTATTACATTTTTTTTTTAGGGGGGGAACATGCACCATAGCAATGCCAATCCATTCTTTGATGTACCATGTACATATGTGACCCTGGACCACAAAACCAGTCTTAAGTCGCTGGGGTATATTTGTAGGAATAGCCAAAAATACATTGTATGGGTCAAAATTATAGATTTTTCTTTTATGCCAAAAATCATTAGGATATTTAGTAAAGATCATGTTCCATGAAGATATTTTGTCAATTTCCTACTGTAAATACATTAAAACTTCAGTTTTGATTAGTAATATGCATTGCTAAGAATTTCATTTGGACAACTTTTAAGGTGATTTTCTCAATATTTTTATTTATTTTTTTTTGCAGCCTCAGATTCCAGATTTTCAAATAGTTGTATCTCGGCCAAATATTGTCCTATTTTAACATATTTATTCAGCTTTCAGATGATGCATACATCTCAATTTTGAAAAATTGATACTTAAGACTGGTTTTGTGGTTCAGGGTCACATTGTATTTCCAAGACATTAGCCCCCCGTCCAGAACTACAGACAATAACACCGTGTCTACACTGGAAGCAAGCAGCATCGACTCGTGCTGTGACAGCTTGAGGTTGTCTACTCTGGAAGTGTTGATGCTGCACGTCAATGTTCACTAACCACAGATCATCTGTACGCTCGAGGCTACACTTCAGCAACAGTAAAATGGAAGAATAGCTTGGATAACTTAGCATTATTTTCAGCGTAAATCTACTGGTATATAAACACACCATGAACTATTGAAAAATTAACTTTATGTGTGACCCTGGAGCACAAAAGCAGTCTTAAGTCGCTGGGGTATATTTGTAGGAATAGCCAAAAATACATTGTATGGGTCAAAATTATAGATTTTTCTTTTATGCCAAAAATCATTAGGATATTTAGTAAAGATCATGTTCCATGAAGATATTTTGTCAATTTCCTACTGTAAATACATTAAAACTTCAGTTTTGATTAGTAATATGCATTGCTAAGAATTTCATTTGGACAACTTTTAAGGTGATTTTCTCAATATTTTTATTTATTTTTTTTTGCAGCCTCAGATTCCAGATTTTCAAATAGTTGTATCTCGGCCAAATATTGTCCTATTTTAACATATTTATTCAGCTTTCAGATGATGCATACATCTCAATTTTGAAAAATTGATACTTAAGACTGGTTTTGTGGTCCAGGGTCACATATCATGATGCAATACCAGTTTAGTAGACTAATTTAAAGCCATACTTTACCCAAAAATGTCATCATTTACTCACCTTAAGTTGTTCAAACCTAACAGCAACTGTTTGGTACAGGTTTGGAACAACACGAGGATTAGTAAATGATGACAATGTTTTCATTTTTAAGTTAACTATCCCTTTATGTTAAATAATAATTTAAAAAATATATATATTTTCATTTAAAAAAGCATTTATAAAGTATTTTATTAATATAACAAGGCACACTTTAGCTTTAATACAGCGCCACAGTTTGGTTCAGAAAATCAGTTACATTAATTTTCTCTATAGGGAGACTGATTTTTAATCATAACTTTATCATTAAAAATAATCCGTTAAATCCAGACCTACTGTGAGCTACAAGGCTGCTAATTAGTGGAATATGCATTTTTTGAAGCCATCAGCCAGTATTATTTCAACCTATTTTTTAAATTAATAATGTTTAACAGCAGAATTCCTGGTGAAAACAACATTACCCATGATTCTGCAAAATAAATCTCCATAATTAGAAAATCCTGACAAGCAAATTGCATCAAAAGAATACATTAGCACCCACCCACTCCCATGAGGCACTGTGAATGCTGTAAAAAGTGTCAGTCTCCCAAGATCTCTGTTAGTAAATATATTTAATTATATATAGTGCTGTCTCCACTACGCCTCAACCGAGACCGTGGGACGGTTAGGATCATATTCTGAGAGGAGCGCAGATGACGTTGAGACTGGTAAGAAATTAACATGTTCTTTATATACTCAGGAGCCTGATCGTGTAATGCTTTATAGACAAACATTAACACCTTGTATTGTATTCTGTATTTTACAGGTAACCAGTGAAGAGATATCAATACAGGTGTTATATGATCCCGTTTTCTGGTGTTTGTTAAGATTCTTGCAGCAGCATTTTGGACATACTGAAGACGAGAAACCAGGGATTCACTTATGCCTAAATAAAGAGCATTACAATAATCCAGCCGTGTGGAAATAAAGGCATGCAAAACAGTCTCCAAGTCCTTATTTGAAAGGATAGATTTCAGTTTAGACAATTTTCTTAACTGAAAGAAAGATGTTTTCACAACGCTGTTAACTTGCCGATCAAAGCGGATTTCAGAATCGAAAATTACCCCAAGATTCCTCACATAACTATTATTGGACAAAGGTCCATAACTTTCAATCAGGTCATTTAGAAACTGTTTGTTCCCAAACATAATAAACTCGGTCTTATCCTCATTTAGTTGTAAAAAATTATTTGCTAGCCATCCCTTTACCTCAGTCAAACACTTATAAAAATTATCAAAAGGTGTACAGCCATCACACTCCAAAGGAAAATACAGTTGTAAATCATCAGCATACAAGTGGTAATTTTTGGCATTGTGTTAACACACACCTGAAGGCTCCAGACCAGCAAACTGCCAAAACATCTGCTTTTATAGAGGTGCTCACACTTGCTGATGATCAGTTAATCAAAGGCATTTGATTTGCAGTGCCTGACTGCTACTTATCATCTTAATTCCTATGTTAACAGTAAGGGTGTCCTAATTTTGTCACACATGGCTTTTTCCATTTTGGCTTTATTTTTGTTAAATAAATAATGACAGTGTAATGTCAAGTGATGTTGTTCATCTGAGGTTTTATTTTCCCAATTTTAAGACCACAGATTTATTTCATAGATAGAGATAGAGATAGAGATAGATAGATAGATAGATAGATCTTTGCCTCAAAGTAATTCCCTCATTAGGACATAGTCTTGTATCTTTGATTTGAAGCAAAAAATATTTGAAAATCTGACAAAGACAAAGTTTGAACTGTTGCGATTCATCTCATAGTAAGCTGGTTTGGTTCACGTCTTATAATTCCTTCCAAAGACTTTTAAAACCCCTTAGGGAAAAACTACTTCAAAAAGAAAGGCCACTGAAAAAGCGGATGGGTGCTGTTGCACTCTGTTCTGCGACACAACTGTTGATATAATGTGATAAGAGAGAAGACAGCATGATGTTCCCCGAGGAGATCAGATGATGAACACTTTACCTGCACTGGTGGCAATGGCACGGGCCTCAACTTTGTCCCCCATCTTGCGCACCACGTCTGGGGTGGGGCCGATAAAACGTACCCCAGCATCCACGCACGCCTGGGCAAAATCTGCTCGTTCTGACAGGAAGCCGTAACCTGGGTGGATGGCATCCACGTCATTCTCCTGCCAGGGACAGATTGCACAACATCACCATTTGCCAGTACAAGAATTCTGTTACAATAAATTCCTATTCAAATGACTATACTGTTACCTTGTCTTTTATTTTTGAGAATGACAAGAGATGACACAAAAAGACAGATTTAAATATACTACCATTCAAAAGTCTGGGGTCAGTACAGTACAGTTTTTTATAATTAAATACTTTTGATCAAAAGTGACAGTAAAGACATTTATATTACTACAAAAGATTTCCATTTCAAATAAATGCTGTTCTGTTGAACTTTCTATTAATCTGCTCGTTCTGACAGGAAGCCATAACCTGGGTGGATGGCATCCACGTCATTCTCCTGCCAGGGACAGATTGCACAACATCACCATTTGCCAGTACAAGAATTCTGTTACAATAAATTCCTATTCAAATGACTATACTGTTACCTTGTCTTTTATTTTTGAGAATGACAAGAGATGACACAAAAAGACAGATTTAAATATACTACCATTCAAAAGTCTGGGGTCAGTACAGTACAGTTTTTTATAATTAAATACTTTTGATCAAAAGTGACAGTAAAGACATTTATATTACTACAAAAGATTTCCATTTCAAATAAATGCTGTTCTGTTGAACTTTCTATTAATCAAAAAAAAAACTTTAAAAAAATGTTGTAGAAACAGCTCTTTCCGAAAGCAGCTAAATGACTCTAGTGGCTCCTAGAATACAGCCCAACTTCCCCGACTGACTGAAATGTTTTTTTTATTGACTTGTATTCAAGGTTAGCCAATTTGGTTACACTTTACTTGAAGGGGTGTGCATAAGACTGACATGACACCTTCATAATCATGACATGACACCTACATAAACATGACATGACACATGTCATGAATATGAAGGGTTTTTTATGCATGTTTATGACAACTGTCATTAAGTGTTATTCGCTCAGTTATGTCATTTTTAATGCAAATATGACATTATTTGACCTAACCCTAACCTAACCCTACCCTTACCCCTAACCATAGCCCATAACAAAGACATCTCAAACAATGTCATCTTTGCATTAAAAATTACATAACTGAGCGAATGACACTTAGATAGTTGTCATAAAAATGCATAAAAACCTTCATATTCA